AGTGTGGTTCTGCTGCTGAGAGTGGTGTCTGATTTTGATCTTGCACAGACCACATCCACTGCCTTATCAACAGGAACGCACGTAAAGAGCGATGTAACATCAAAAGAGACCATAGTTTCATCCGTCTCCATGATGACATTGTTTGTTTTATTTACATAAAGGCTTTGATGGCTGGATGTTCGGCCCCTGATCTGTTGACCTGCAGTAAGTGAGCAATTTAGTTCAATAGCCCTGCATTATGCATTCATACACAGTGGTAAGCGACAATGTAGCCACAGCTTCCCTGCACACTAGAACCCGGCTTAGCTCCACATCAGCCTAGTGTGGAGGAAGACTTCTGCCTGTTTCTTCATACTCTGATGTCACCACTCATAAGAAAATAACCTGAGAGCTATTTGACAGAACATCACTTCAAAAGTCACCAGTCGATCCCTTTAAAGCTCCACGATGCTCATTAAACCATCTTAAACAGAAGAGGAGCAAAATCTCCATCTCCGTGACTTCATCCTCATTACACTTGGTAATGGAGCTGATGAAGACTGAAATGGACCTGACATCTAGGCAGTTAGTCAGAATTATTTTGCATAACAATATTATTTGTTTGGATTTGCTGTTCTGATTAAAGCTTTTAACAAAATGGCTACAAGACAGATTGGTATATTCTCCATTCTCCTGGACAAACATCAGCTTCAAACACAATAATGATATCAGAGTGGAAGTTGTATTTATCCAAACAGTAGTTTGCCTGTTGGAAAATGAGTTGTTCTACAGTCTGTCATTAAATGCTTTCCAACATAGTCATTGTTTGTTACAGGTCATTTCACCCAGCATCAAGCAGCCATGCATGTTACATTACAAACTGTTTGAACAACACTCCCTCGGCTCCCTTTCCCGACAAGCATGACTTCCTCTGAGCGTGTGCGACAAGCTGCACATCATCACCAAGAACCGTCCCGCTCTGACCTCCTCCAACCCTCCATTCATGCAGCACGACTTGTTTCAGCAAACATCCTCAGATAAGAGCAGGAAAGGTAAAACTGATGACAGCGAAGCAAACACAAGAAGTGGTTTAAACCAGTTTTAAATGATCATTGACACAAACGTCCCACTGAAACTAAATTCTTCTTTCGCCACTAAAAAATTAAAATAATTGGCTTCCAAACAGCAGAACCACAGGCAGATATTAAAGGCATGTTTCCTTTTTTTTAAACTTGGGTATTCTGTAAAGGTAAGGCAATTAAAATGTTCAATAAGAAAAATTTATATTGTGCACAACTCTTAATTTCCTTACAAAAAAGGGAAAAGAGTAAATGATTGTCCGTTTCTGAAGTGCTGGTTATCCCATTTTTACAATTAAAACCTTACCATAATATCTTATTTTACCCAAAACTGACTGATGTCTTAATAAAACACCTCTAATCTCAAATATTTCTACGTTGCTGTTAGTTTCAAATCTTGTGTTTCTTTAAGAACCATAAGATTAAAGTAAAGAACAATTCTTTACATTTATTTCTCTGGTTATTTGCAAGTATAAACAGAGGCAGCAGCAGCTAGCTGTAGCACCTTCACTGCAGCCTGGGGAACATCTTCAGGAATATCACATTATGTCTGCAAGGATAATTGTGTAAAACTGAAAGTGATAGAAAGATTAATAAAATAGTGTATGGTTTGGATTGCACTAACTAGCCATTAGCTCATCAGTCCAGTCAGAGTTTATAAAAGTAACTGTGAAATATCAGTGTAACTGTTATTTTTTTATGGCTGGTAAGGTTGGCAAAATGTGAAGAAAAAAAAATTACTGAACTCACATTTGGTTGGTTTAAATCATTTCAGGCTCAGCCGATTCTGTTTTATGTATGACTGGGCAGCAGTTAGCTAACCAGCAAGCTAACTGAGGAGGCTGGAGCCAATGATGCAGACTGAATCAAGGAGCTTTCATAAAAATATGAATTAAAACATTATTTTAACCAAAACCAAAGGACTGTTCTGGCAGCAAAACCTTACCTGACAAGAGACAAAGCACAGGGAGGAGCGAGGTGGTGTGAAAAGTGCAGGCGTGGCATAAACATCAACAATGCTGCACTGACAAACGAATGAAAACAGACAGGAGGATCAACAGACGAAGGCTAACGAGGATGTGGAGACACCTGGTCTAGATGAAGACTGGGAACAGGTGAGAGTGGGCGGGGCTTGAGCAGAGGGCTAGAACTGATTGGGGAAAACGAAACTGGAAACACAACGAGACGAGGAACAACGTGGACACTGAGAGAACTACAGAAACATTTAGAGAAATTAACAGTCAGCAGTGTAGAAACAATGTTTGTCACATGAAGTCTGTGATAAAACACAACCAGTGTGAAAATCCCAGTAACCTCTGAAACTGGGAGTTATTTACTACATGTTGTTTTTAGGATTTTACCCTTGGTTGAGGTCTGCCAGAACCCTTAAAGACTTTAGACCTCTTTTAAAGACTTATCTTTTTAACTCCAGAGAACACATGCAGAAGACCAGTCCTTTAAAAAATACAATAAAAACCCATTGTGTTAGTCCTTATCCCRTTGTATTTATACTGATATTCCTTTATTCTGGTATTTTTTGCTTGCTTATTTGCATGAGTTGTCAACCAGAAAATGGTTTGTGATTTATAAATATAGATTTTGTTTACTGAGTTCTAATGTTCCCTTTGGTTATCTTGTGGTGTGTAAAGTGCTTTATAAATAAAGTTTAGATTGACTGATGTAACTACTAAATACAAGCTGAAATGTTACAAAAAGTTTATTTCTCCAAACTCAGGTCATAGAGCGATCTGCAACTGTAAGATTTATTGGTTTATAAACTTTCCACAAAATCCCTGAACTTTGGCTGTCTTTAGGCTTTAGAATTATCCATCCATCCATCCATCCATCCATCCATCCATCCATCCATCCATCCATCCATCCATCCATCCATCCATCCATCCATCCATCCATCCATCCATCTCCCATGATAATGGATGGTAGCAATAACAGTACAATAGCATTATCATTATTGCTTCTTCCTCTCTGGGTTGTGGTCACTGGTGCCCCTGTCCAGCAGTCACTGTGAAAGAGACAAATTCCCACAGTTTATTCACAACAGGAGCAGGTTACAGCTGGCTGTACCTGACCACTTTTCGTTTTTATCAAATACATGATAACCAGAAAAACTCAAAGCACAAAAGTTTTTGAAAAAAACAATATTTACTTTCATTGTTATAAAGTTCTTGATAAACTACATTTCCAGTAAAGTAAAAGAAGTTTTAAAATATTTAAAAAAGCCCACGTTTGAAAGTTTGGTTCTCTTACATCAAAGTTTAATGTCTTATTAAAAAAAAAAGCATTTTGAGAGGTTGGAGGAGTCCATCGGGCTGCTGGAGAGCAGCGAAGACGACATTTTCAAAAGATGAAAATCGTTCTGATGCATCAGAGAAATCAGAAGTTTCACAGGGAGATAATGCTTCCTTTCAGTCAGTCGGCTGCTTTTAAGASACTTTGTGGTAGTGAGGAAGAAAATCAGGAAGGTTTCAGTAACTCCTCACATACAAGAAGAGAACTGAGTCACATTCTTCCTKCAGCAGTACTTCCTCTGAGTTCACTCTGTTTGTCTCAGTGTTTTAAGAATAATCTGCCCTCATGAACCGCTGCTGAAGGTTACCATGCATCTAAAATCTATTTTTATATGTTTTACTTCTTGACTCCAATCAAGTATACATATGTACATACACAGTACATACAGTAGGTAAAATAAGTACTGAACACGTCACCATTTTTCTCAGTAAATATATTACTAGAGGTGCTAATGACATGAAATTTTCACCAGATGTTGGTAACAACCCAAGTGATCCATACATACAAAGAAATCAAACCATAAATGTCCAGAAATGAAATTATTTGTAATAATGTGGAATGGMACAGGGAAAAAGTATTGAACACACTTACAGAAATTTATCTAATACTTTGTACAAAAGTCTTTGTTGTCAATGACAGCTTCAAGACRCCTCCTGTATGGAGAAACTAGTGGCATGCATTGCTCAGGTGTGATTTTGGCCCATTCTTCCACACAAACAGTCTTCAAATCTTGAAGGTTTCGTGGACCTCTTCTATGAACTCTGATCTTTAGTTTAGTTTAGCTCTTGGACAACTCTTCTGATAATTCTTTTCACTCCTCTGTCAGAAATCTTGTGAGGAGCACCTGGTCGTGGTCGGTTTATGGTGAAATAATGTTCTTTCCACTTCTGAATTATGGCCCCAACAGTGCTCACTGGAACCTTCAGAAGTTTAGACATTCTTCTGTAACCGATGCCATCATTATGCTTTGCAACAATAAGGTTGTGAAGGTCTTGAGAGAGCTCTTTACTTTTACCCATCATCAGATGGTTCTTGTGTGAYACCTGGCCATCATTTGGGACTGAACCAGCTGATATTAACTTGCACTGACAAGGGGCAGGCTTGTTTTCTAATTACTGAGAGAGTTCAGCTGGTGTCTTGGCTTTCCATGCCTTTTTACACCTTCCTTTCTTCGTGTGTTCAATACTTTTTCCCTGTGCCATTCCACATTATTACAAATGTTATTAGCACCTCTAGGTAATATATTTACTGAGAAAAATGGTGACGTGTTCAATGCTTATTTTACCTGCTGTAACTCAGGTAAATTCAACATTTATTGTTACAGTGTACAGTACATGCAAGCCGTTTGATGTTATTGTAAAACATATGTACAARTACTTTAAATCTTACTAAGACCTGAAGCTGATTGTAGTATTTGGCCTTACTGAACGTTTGAAGAACTCTGTTTGAGTCTCATCTCTCTGTATTTGCAGCAGCACAGGCCGGAGTCATAAAATCATTATTCTGCAGAAGAAGAGTTCACGCAGAGGTTTTCTTCAGGCTRCTGAGTAAATAAATGTTGATGCAGACAATCAGGACGAGCCAGGTGAGGTGTATKATTACAAGAGGCATGAATGAGTTATGAGAATCACTGATTTTCTTGTGAGTCTTTATTTCCCAGACATATAATCTATCTGTTATGTAACATTTACCCTGACATCACATCACCGCTGATAGATCTCTGAATCTTTATCTGATTTTCCAGTAATGTCTGTTTTTGTCTGATAGAGTAATGCTCAAACATTCTCAGTGAAATATTTCATCRGAACCTTCAAAGGCCCTGAAGCATCTTACTGATCAATACTTGGACGTGGCTGACAGAAAGGAAACTCAGGAGAGACTAAGGTTTTTTTCACTTTGCAAAAATGTAAATGTAAAAAATGTAAATAAAATCTTCGAATGTATAGATTTTCAGGTTTCATAAACCCATATTTTATTCTMAATGGAACATAATAAGCATATTAAATGTTTAAACTAAGAAATTGTAACATTTGCTGAAAAAATATGATGTAATCTTGAATTTTGAGGCAGCAACATGTTTCAATAAGCTGAAGGACCTTCGCTGAAGAAGGAGGGAAGCAAAACCTGTKTAAGCTGCCCATGCTGTACTAATGCACCCCCATACCATCAGGGAAGCAGGCTTTTGAACTGTCTGCTAATAACAGGCTGGATACAGAGGATGTGACATCCATCACTTCTAAAAACACTTCTTTAAATTTCAGCTTTAATAACAGAAACGTTTTCACCCGAGGTTTTTTTAATGAGCTTTGGTTCAGAGAAGACTGCAGCAGCAGCCGTTCATATTTGGCTTATTTTTTACACGATAGAGCTTTACCCAACATTTGTGCATGACATGTCGAAGTGTGTTTACAGATAAGTGTTTCACGCAATGATATCCAGAACAGARTCAGACCTGTTTGTAATGCAGTGGATTAGAGTTAAATCTATGACATTTTCAAAAAGTTGTATTTTGACCGTCTACGTGAAAATTCAGGGTTATTGTGGTGTGATACGAGATTATAGCATTAAATATTTAGCAGGAAATATTAAAACAAACAGTATTTATTGTGGATTGCATAGCCTTTATGTTGTTTTTCAAGATTTGACTTACTTTAAATATCATCATCATACTACATCATAGCTACAAAACATAAAAAACAAGTGTAACGCTACTGTGTTGTGCAGTGTTTTCTGGATCATTAACACAGTTTGTAGACATTATAAAGTTTTGTTCAATTTGTATAAAACAAATTGACAAATAACCACAACACTATGCATTTAGAGAATGGAAAAAAAGAGTTTAGGGATAATTCTTTACGTCTGATCATAAATTACAGTTTTCAACACAATGGTCAGAAAACTGAGCAGAAAAGAATTTGAAGAGTTTTGTTTGAGAATTCATTCATAAATCATTAAAAAATGCACATAAATATATTATCTCTGAACTGYGCAAAAACTCAAATGAAGTGAAATCTACAATAATTTTCTCTTTTCTTTTTTTGAGTCAAGATGAAATTTGACATTTTTCTGAAACTTAGATTCAAACTTTAAAATTTAAAAAACATTTTAAAAACAGCACATGCATCCCCTCCTGTTTTTTGCATTTAGCTCCTGCCCTTTAAATAAATTTAATATCTCTCTCTCTCTCT